AGGTGTGATATGAAGAAAAGATGTTAACGAGAAGAAGAAGAAGATAACTACCAAGAGTAAAACGTGGAACGTGAAAAGATAATTATAGTTAATTAAAATAAAATAAAAATTATAAAAATTACTTAATTACATTATTGTTCTTATTAAATTATTTATATATAATAAAAGTTAATTTATTAATTAAAAAAGTTTGAGGTTATTGGGTTGTTCTCGCATTCTCGTAAATCACAAGGGTTCTCGTTTGAACCTCCACCTATATATATATATATATATATATATATATTTATGTTAAAGATCAATATCGATTTCATTTGAAAGAATGTATTTCATTCCTCAATCGACACAATTTGATTTTTCTTTGGATTAAACCACGACTTTGCGGGTCCTTGATCCACCTAAAAGATGCACCCGTTCATCTGAATCAACCGTTGGTAACATGAATGTTTGCTCCTGGGGAATGCAATTCTTCAAAAACGTGTTGGTTTATAACAAGAAGACGCAAACATACAAATTAATATTTAGTATAAAATATAAGATTCAGTGAGGTTAAAAGTATCATATTCTAAATGAGTTTGCGTAACAAAATAATCATAGAATATTTATGGTTTAATGCGTCACAACTCATTGTATTTAATATAAGGTTTATGTTAAGTCGTACCACCCAAACATAACTGAGACGTAATTAAAAATTTCAAGAATATATTCATGATAGACAGATAGAATTTTTCAAACCAAATTGAGACCTCATAATGTGTATTACAAATATTAAAAGTGAATAACCCTAAAAAAGTACGACTTTTCAAAAGAAAAAGTTGACCAAAGAATTTTTATTTTTCTAGTTTCATTAAAGAATTATTAATCAGTTAAGAAATTTAAATCAAAATACTTAAAACGTAATTTAAATATATCTTTCTTTTATTTTAAATATAAGAAAATAGAACACATTTTGTTAAATTGTCTTAGACTTGCTACATTTTGATTATTATACATTTAGTTTTGGTATAAATGACTTATTTTAAATTAAAATATAAAATACATATTAAACTATGAAAGACTATATGATTAGGCAGGACAAAAAGACGGGGATGGGACGGGTTTTATAATCCCTGGACCCTACTCCAGTTTTTAGTACCAGCCTCCGTCCCCGTCAAATCTTGGTCCCTGGTCCCCAACTCAAGACTCGTTCCCTGACCCGGTCCAGTCCCATGTTTCCTAATACAAATACTCTTGAAATCCAACAGCAACATAGACCCGCTATCAGAATTTCCAAAAGTCAAATACTTATTAAATGAATATTAGTACACCGGGTACGAGACATGTCAGAGGTACAATATCCGGTCCCTGCCCCAACCCCCGTTTGAGTCTACCGGGGGATCTCCGATCCCGACCCTGGAACCCGTTTTAGTGGGAAATCTTCATTCCCGTTCGGGTTGGATGAACCGAATTCCCCACCAGATCGTGGCAAATAACCATCATTATTATATCACATTTGGAGATGGTGATTTTCCTCGACCCGGTGGGGAACCCGACCCGAACGGGGACGGGGATTCCAAGCTAAAACGGGTCCCGGGGCTGGGGTCGGGGATGTTACTCAATCCGGGGCCGGGGATCCCCAGTAGAATCAAACTAAAGGATACTATTAATGGGGTTTGACTGAGGATTGACCGTGGTTTTACCGGGTTTTGACCGGAGATTGCTAGAGATTTGACCGGATACGGGATGATAATCCCCATACCCGCCCGGGGCTGGGGATTACAAAATCCGCCTCATTCCCGCCCCGTTGCTATGCCTAATCACATTTTAGTTCTTATATTTTAAGAAAAGAGTAAAGTACAAAATTTGGTCCCTATAGCTTGTCAGAAATAACACTTTTTGTCGTTATAGTTTTTAAATTACAAGATGACCACTATAGTTTACGAAAGCATCCGGATTTGATCATTTCTTCTAACGATCATTAAAAAAAATCGCTAAACAAAGGACATTTTCATTCTTTTATTAAATTTGTCTTTTACCTAATAAAAAACACAAATATCTAAAATATAAAATCGTTTTTGATTAAATAAAAGACAAAAAAATCGATAAAAAGACAAAAATGCTTTTTATTTAACTTAATCTTTTAACGATTGTTAGATAAATGAACAAAATTCAAACGTTTTTACAAACTATGACGGCATCTCGTAATTTTGAAACCATAGGGGCAAATTTATTTATTTTCAACAAACTAGAAGGACCAAATTTGTAGTTTTTCTTTAAGAAATATATAAACCACTTTATAATGGAACTGGAATTTGGAAATACGTCCAAAAAGAAAAATATGAAAATAAAGGCTCTAATCTTTTTCCCTCTTTTTAACTTTAAAATGTCGACCACTAACCTTCCCTGGATTCGCTCTAATCACTGTTTATCCCTTAAATCTTTCTTTTTTTATTAACCTGGATATCCAATCCGCTATGCGAGCCGACTAATCTCAATGCGACTACCTATTTTGCAGATAGCCCAGAGTCATCGCATTTGAACCTCCGTGGCCACAAGGGGAAATTGTTTCATTATAAATAATTACCGTATTAAATAATTAAACGAAAAAAAATTAGTAAGCAATTTCTTGTGATGTAACGGGGACGTTGTTCATCGAGGCATCAATTGTCGATTCCTTTGTCATCAAGTTATTGACTTTTTTGATATCTCGGCACCGTAGAAGATCTTGTAACTTTAAACTTTCCGATAAATAATCATCTGAATCGGATAACTTAACTACACACCATTATTTTATCACATGTAGTGTTTGTATCCCAACCACATGTTTGCAAGTGGAAAGCTGCCCATTCTGGCAGTTGCAAGCAGCCAACTGCCACTCAAAACCATCACAACTATAGACCAATTGTGGAACGACGCATCAGCAGTTTTTAGACACACAAACAACCAAAAGATCTTGGTTTTGATCAACCAAATGTTTTGGGTCCCCATCTCTGTCTTCTTGTGATCAATTTCTTGATGCCATTCCCTTTTTTATCTCACTCAAAAGATTGCAAAATCTAACTTTCTGTTCAGCACACAAATCATTTCTTTTTTGTAAAATATCTTCTAAAAAGTTCATAATTTTCATATCCTTTCTCATTCTTCAAAATTGAATTCTCAGAAGTTACTCCAATCCTCAATCAAATGACTTTAAATACCCCAAAAAAGGGGAAATCTAACTACGAGTTACTGCGTTTTTGTCTTCCTTATAATAAGAAAACAAAATGGGAATTCGTGAATAGAGGTTTTGGTACTCGGGTTAGAAGTAGCAGCCGTTTGCGCCATCTGTAATCGGATCAAGAGCGTACATATTTAGTCCTCTTGTCCGTGCAGGTGCTCCTCCTTTCATTGATGATAAGTCGAGCACAACCCTGTAAGCAAACATGAGTTGGCCATCAAACGACTTCATAATGAGTTTATTCATTATATAGAGATGTTTGTATTCATGATGAATGACCTCTGTTTGAACTGATTATGAAGATGTATTCACATACCTTTGTTCAGCAGGCCCACAGTTTATCAGGATGTTTTCGTTGATTTTGGACAATGAGAGGTCAACGGACAAGTCAAACGCCTTGTTTGCTGGATTCAACAATGTAAACACCCTATCAGAACCATTTAAATTTGCATTTCAACAATACATAACCAAATGAGAAACTTCACTAACGGGTTTTGGGGGGAATGTTCATGCTTTCACTAATACCCAAGATGTTCTACAATGAAATAAAAAACAATATGTCAGATTAAACAAGGGTTCAAATCATAAAGAGCACAAGTGTTTACATTTATATGATACTCACCTTAAGTTGCTCATAACAAGCTTCCAGATCATTGTTCACCAAAATATGATCAAAAAGGCCCGGAGAGTTTCCTTGTTCAAGCTCAGCCTTAGCATTTCTAAGTCTTTTCTGGATCTGTTCTTCGGTTTCTGTTCCTCTGTCGACCAAATTGAAGAGATTGTTTAGTCAGCTTAAAGATGAAGAACAAGAAAAAAACAAGATTGTTTTAATGACGGGTTTCAAGATGTTGCTCAAACCTTGCACGAAGGCGCTTCTCAAGCTCTTCAAACGAGGGTGGGCAAACAAAGATGAAAATAGCTTCGAGTGAACTATCCCTCACTGACCTTGCCCCTTGAACATCAATGTCGAGGATGCATCTCTACATAAAACCAGACTCGCTAGTTTAAACAAACGAATGAGAAAAAATCATTTCAGCATGCTTCTACGACCAACATTTTTGAATCAAAATCAAAACCCATCATATTGTAGCTTCATTTGTGCAGTTTCGTAGGGTTAATCATCAAAAAAGATATATATACAACTAGTTTGTGCCAATTTGACAAATATTTCTCATTCTATCATCCAATTTGACAGATAACGTGAACAAGTTGAAGAATGCAAGAGATATAGACCTTTCCGGCATCAGCAACTACATCAACAGCTTCTATGCTAGTTCCGTAAAGATTTCCATGGACTGCAGCAAACTCAAGAAATTTGCCGGCTTTAATCTCTTCCTCCATAACGCTGCGCTTGGTGAAATGATAATGTACTCTATTCTGCTCCTTTTCCCTTGGAGCACGAGTCGTGTGGCTAACCGAGAATCCAAATTTTGTCGGAAACTCTTTCATCAGCAGATTAATTAACGTACCCTTACCCACCCCAGAAGGGCCACTAATCACGATGGGCCGTTCAGCATCACCAATAACTCCCTTACTCCAAGCAACTACTTCGGTATCGAATTTCTTCTTCTGATCCTGAATGAATAGCGTGTCCACCTTACAACGCATAACAAACATCATTCAAAATCCAGAAACGTGCAAACTACATATTTCTTGATAAATTTCATTACTTTAGAAACACCCACCTCAAGAAACCAAACAGATTCATTAGAGTTGGAATTGCTTTTGATGATCAAGATCTTATCTTGGTTCAAAAGCACACATAAATGGCCCTCGAGTGCCTTTGGTTTTGTTCCTAAAACGGTTGGAATCACCCTGCAAGTGAGAAAAAAACAATATCTTTATGTCATAAAACCATCAACAACACAAAGCCAAAATCAAAGTAACACAACACAGCCACAAAGACTCAAAACTCACCATTCACCGGTTGATTTGTCGAAAATACGAACTCCATTTGATGTTGGATCATCATTCCCACCAATGACATACTGAATAGAAGTTAAGAGATATGTTTTAAAGTTAAAATAGAAGCTTTTGAGGAGAAACTGAATTAAAATGGAAATGGTTCAACATCATACTGTTTTATTTCCAACAGCAATGGCTGTTTCAAAGCCTGTGAGTTTCAGATCAAATCCATTTGAAAAACTCCCTTGCATATCATCAACATAGAAAGCTGGAGCTTCTCCCTAATTTACAAACAACCAAAAATAATTAAAAAATAAAAACTTTGAACAAATTGGCATTGAATTTTATGAAAACCTAGTAATAATGAAGACTGCACTCACCATTAATACAACTTCTTCAACAGACTTGAGATGCAACCTGATGAAAAGAACCATCAGAAATTAAAGAATTGAAATAAGAATACAAACCCACTATTAAGATCTTCCATGAAAGCTGGAAATTAATGTGGTCTTTTTCGTTTGGGGGCTGGTGCAAAGAAGACCACATTTATGCAGCAAGCAAAACAATAACGATTGATTAAATAGATCAATGCCTAAATTATAAATTGAATTGGGAAAGATTGATATGAACATCAAAACCCAAAACCCAGAATTTATGTAACCCTGAACCAACAAAAAAATAGAAAAACAAACACCATGAGCATTGAACAGGTTAATTTAATACAGATGTAACCCAGAATACAAGTGCTATGTTTCGTTTCAAATCTAAAGAAGTCGTACCAAAAAAATGGATACTTTGAAGAACCCAGAGGCTGAAATTAGAGAAAGAAAGGAGAGATTTGAAGAAGGTTACCTGAAGTGGAGGAATATAAATAGAAAGAAGAGAATAAAGGTAGAGAGGTAGAGTGATCTGTATTAAAAACGCAAGATCCCTTTGATTTTATAAAAGGTAACTTAGGGTTAGGAAAGTGAGGATGGCGGAGAATAGAAGTGATGATGCAAGAACAGAACGTAGACAGCCATATTTGTAGAGAGAGAGAGAGGGGGGTGTTTGAGGGGGGAGAGATGGCTCTTTGGTCGCATTCAGTTCAAGAAACTTGCATACCCAGTCTCTTTATTTCCTTTTCTTTTACCCTTTTTCCTTTGTATGATTTGGTTACTTGAAATACGTTTGGTTTTATTTCAAAATACAATTTGGGATTTCGTGGGTTTTAAAAACATTGAAGGTATTCATCGAATGGTTTGTATTATTTTGATGAGGAGGTGGAGTATGAAGATTCTTTGGGATAAAGGTTGTCCAGAGGAGGGTGTCGGGTAACCCACCACTTGTGTAGCTGAGACTGGGGAGGGCATCCACGTAATTTAACATCCCCTTTTTCCTTGATTGTTGCTCACCTAATTTCCTAAAATACTTTCTAATTCTTTTGAATTTCACACACACACACATATATATATATATATATATAATCAAAATTAGTTTGTGGTAAATTAGATAAATTAAAAAAAATTTAATTTTGATAATTTTTAATTAAAATTATAATGCAAGGACATTATAGGTCTAATCAAATGAGAACTAATTAATTGTATTACCTTAATTAATAGGTAAAGAATGTTTTAGTAAAATGATTAATTATAATTTAAATATTTTTCTTATCTAATAATTATCAAATTCGGTTTCCTTAATTATCAAGAATTCAGTTTCTTCCGGTTTCCTTAATTATCTCAACAAAATTGTATCACATTGTGGTTGTATGTAGCCTAAAACTCAAATCACATATATTATCAACTCAGGTTCATAATGTTATCACAGTGGTATCATAATGTGTAACACAATTTGTTTTGTGTCTTACTGTTATATATTCTTCGATATCACGACGTGTACCATATTTGTTTTGTATTTTACTGTTAGAAATTCTTGGTCGAAGAGAGAGAGGGGGAGAGAGGAGAGAGATTTTAAAAAGACTAATTTACACTTATATATTACCAGTAAATTTAAATTATTTGAAAATTAATAAATAATTACCAAAATTAATATGTTTAATAATAACCATTGATTATTAATAATGTGTGGTTGAGATTGGATCTCACAATTATCACAAACAATCGAGTTCTTCCTTGATTGGACCCCTATATATATATATATAGAGGTTGGTTATTATACAACCCATGACATTTGTGCAACCAATACAACATAATCTCAACCGTCCATTTCATTTGATTAATATGTGATTTCATAGAAGTTTTGATTGTTTTATAATATAAAGTATTGATCATAATTAATGAACCATATTCATCTTCCATAAATATTCAAATCATAATAAATGAACTCTCATCATTTCCATAAATATTTCAATTTATTGGGTTGCATAGGTTGTACAAATGCAATAGATTGTATTTGAAACAAACTCTCTCTTTATATATATATATATATATATATATATAAATAAATAATTTGAGTTAGTTACTCAATTATAAACATTATATTTTGTCTATGTTTTTAAGCTATGTCACTAAAATCCTAGAACATAGACGTTAGAACCATCTTTCTTTCTTGGCAATATTATAGAGGGGGAGTATTCAAATAAAAATCATTCAATTTGTAAAAATCGTGAAAACCTCATTCAGCCAATCATAATTTTTCATTTTGTTCATTTTTTTGTAAGTATGAGAGGTTGATTAACCATTTTTATTGTGGAGGGTGTTAATCATGGATATTATCATCTTCTTTATTTTAATTTTAGAGAAATACATGAAACAGTTTCATTAAATATTATGAACAGTTTCATTAAATATTATATGAAACAATTTCATAATCATATATGAAACAAATTCATCAAAAAAAGTATTATATGAAACAATTTCATAATCATATATGAAACAAATTCATCAAAAAAAAGTATTATATGAAACAATTTCACAAGATTAAACAATTTCATGAAATTTTTTTATAAGATTAAACAATAAAATCGACGTATAAGGGTGGTTTGTACGGTTTTTACAAATGAGGGTGGTTTTCATTTGATCGCTCCTCTATCATAGAGTAATAAATATGTATAAAGTACAAATGAGTAAGAAAGAATAACCAAATTGGGGAAAAGTTTCACGAACATGCTAACAGAGTAAAAATGACATACATACAAGAATTTCAAAATCACGAGCTAAATATATGGACTTTCACGAATGTAGAACAAGATATAAAGCTGCAATGACTTTTAAAATGATTGGATTTCAACACAAATTATAATCAGTAGCTTCTTAATCAAAATCAAAAACTCAATTTCCTATATCATAAATCAAAAGGCGAAACCCTAAGAAGCAACACAATCAGTTTACTTTGTTGATTAAAACCATAAAGGTATGGGCAGTGCTTTCAAAACCAATTAAAAGAATAAATGAACCTGGAGGCCATAGATGATAGTGTGTGAATGGTATGTGGTGCTAATGACGACCTTGTGTGGTGGTGGTGCTTAAGATGTATGGGTGACACTTCTATATTCTCGAGTTGTGGAGAGGAACAAGTGTACTTGGGTGTGTGTTCTCTGTTTGGTATTGAGTATTTAAGACTACATATCATCAATCACATTTTTGATCGGTGATGTTCATTAAGAAATGACACGTGGTGTTATGTTGCCACATCTACAAATTTGATCACCGGTGATCATTAACTAAAGATTGTACGTTGTAAGTAAATAAGAAGGTGATATTATATGTTATATTTATCATTGACAATTTTAAGTAATGTTTTGGTAGTTGATTGCTGACATTTATGTTAGCATATTACATTAGTACTAATGAAAAAATGTACGTAGAACTGAAGTTTGCACAAGAACAAAATTATAAATTTCGTGAAGGTTTACATATTAAGGTGTTATATTTTTTTAGGGTTATGTGTTTCAGTTACAAAATTACTATTTATTAATTATTATGACATGCATCTTATGAACCGTATTGGTAGTGACATATTATTCTGGTTTGCTATAGTTGACGAGGACATCTTCAAAGATTGTGATATTTGCAAATATCATATATCATAATTAAGTCTTATCTTGACAGTCAACGATTTATTGCTATAAAGTTCATCAAGAAATAGTCTGATACTAATAGCTTCACTCATCTAGAAATACATATGTCGGTTAGGCCTAAATGATTTGCACGCATTTTTCTCTTGAACATATTTTTTTTTGGGTTGATTTAATTTATTCTAATACAATTAATATGAAAGCAATATAAAACAAAAAAAAAAAACCGACAAATTGTATGTCGATTACAAGTCCCAAAATCAAAGATAGTCGTCAGTTTTGCTTTCATGATGTGCAATACTTAGGAGTCGCTTACTAAACATTTGTCTTGGTGAACATAACGAGGACAAAAAATCTTACCCATTAAGAGGGAAGATAAAGATCAAAAGTATTACCCGGTAAGCATTTATTGGGTTATAAATGTTTACCATCAATCTGTTTTTGATGGCCAGAATGTTTGCATCATAAGGTAATTGAGAGTGGTAACTTCTGATGGTAAGTGCTTACTCGGTAACGATTTGGTAAACGACCTCTTAGTCATGCATTTTGGTCGTTTGGGGGTTAAGTCATTTTCTTTGCAACAACATTATATGACCGATACCTATTTAGGACTAGGGTTGGGTTCCGGTGAGAATAGAAGTTACAATTAGAATGATAAGAAGGGATCATTTGATCAATCCAAATTGAAGATCAACACTAATACAGTTCACCTTGATGCACCAGATCAATTCCTATGATAAACGTAATTCATGGTTGAGCATGAAATTAAACGTGATCAAGGGTTCAGACTACTTTTTACATTTCTTATCTTCACTCGTATTCTAACACGATTCTTCACCTTTAGTACTACAACAAAATTATTTTCACAATAACATTAAAAGTCTCATCTGATTAACTTGAATTGTTGCCTCTTAACCCTAATCGACACCAACTTGTGAAGATAGTTGAAACCATTGATCAAAGACCAACAAACAGAGATATTTAGGCATACAACCTGAAATGAGATTTTAATTAAATTCACGACCTTCTGATGAGTATGAAGCCATCTTTCTTTTAATAGGCCAGAAGGTTAAAAATCTAACTAAAACTATTTACAATCATATACCTAAACGACTCAAACAAACACAATGCAATAGCAACATAATGAGATGGTGATGATTTTAGGCATATTCATAATTGCTAAACAAATAAAAAGTAACACCCATCATTTTATAATGTTTTAAGGATAATTCAACGTTAAACGTGATGATATATATAAATAATATGGTATTATATAATATCCGCTAATGGCTACGTACATAAACATATGCTTATATGTACATCTCTTTTCGTTATCTTTGAGAATTTTTAAAAAAAAATATGTAATATGTTTATTAAATTAGTAAGGGGCTGTTTGACAATTGTTGAATGATTTGGTACAAAATGATTAAGTGGTCAGAATGATTAAGATGCTTTCATGATATAGTGTAAAATGAAATATAATTGTTTGATAATTATATACAATGAAATTATGGCTCTTAATGGTTAAAAGAGATCTATGATACAAAATCATTCAGATGGTTTTAAAATCATTAAAAAACAAACTTTTTTTACTAAACGAAATTAAAAAATTATCTTTTAATAAAACTATTAAAAAATAAATAAACAACCCTTAAATACGAAAATATCGGAGGGAATCCGTATGTATGCCGCCATAGGCTGCGTGTTCAACAACCAATGGGCCCAAGTCCAAGACCGGTTCTTATTCAAATTCATTCACCGCCGTGCCGCCTGGTGGGTGGGTCTCACACTCTCACGTCACTTAGTGGAAATACGACATGGTTATCTTCGGCCCCACAAATACCACGTGGACGGTCGTGATCAAATTCTACAAATAGTATATTACTTCATCATCGATTTCATCACAAATCTCCTTTAATTCACAAATAAAGTGCACAGCAAATTGTTAACCGTTAAGACTTTAATACTTTTAAAATATACAATTTTTGTTTCAAAATTATTAATTTAATTTATTTTAAAATAAATAT